GGCAGAGGGTCAATATGTGTAACGTCACAGGAACATACATCATGGAACCCTCCAGTGGGTACCCATGAAAAAAGTGCAGTCATCATATCTATGGCAAGGGACCCATGAGGGGAATGTATCATCTCCAGACTTAAAAGGAAAGTACCTCAAAATGCCAGATGCAGGGGAGGGGTATCAGGAGAGAGGTCTCCTGTCATCGCGTGTGCTTCCAGAGGCATCTGGTGAGATACAGAAAGCTGGACTGGATGGGCCCTTGGCATGACCCAGCAGGGCTCTTCTTGTGTTCTTATCATGCACTAGGAAACCAGGTTCATAGCTGAGTTATTTGCATGCTATAAAAGTGAATCTTTACTGAAACAATATCCATCTGTTTTAGTTTTGGTTGCACTAGTTTTATGAATAAAGTGTAGAATCTAGAAAGATCCCAATGGAAAAACAAAACAAAACAAACCCTCTTGTTCCACTACAACTCTCAATGCTTTGAAAATTGGCCTCCTAACCATTTGCTCAGTGTGCAGTCTGCCCCATGTCAGTGGCTCACAAGGAGCAAGAGCATCACAGAAAGAAAATGCAGCAAACAGATCCATCATCTCAGTATATGATAGCCAGAACCAAAGTATTCTGTGAGCAGCCATAGTCAGGGGAGTAATTCTAGGGAATACTAAACAAAGGATTTAGAAGGGATTAGTGAAGGCTTAGCAGCTCTTTCTCATTATTATTGCACCCATTTAAAAAATAGTCGCACAGTGCAGACTCCTTTTCATGGTGCCAAATGTGACAGGATTGCTTCTTATAGCCTTGTACTTAGGAGGCAGAATGGTGGGAAAGATAAACTTTTTTTTTGCACAGTGCAAACTCCTTTTTATGGTGCCAAATGTGCTTCTTATAGCCTTGTACTTAGGAGACAGAATGGTGGGAAAGATAAACTTTTTTTTTTCAAATGAATGAATGTTGCACTTACAGGAGGGGAACATTTTTCCTGTTTGTTACATCCATATTATGCTTTTCTTCCTGTGTGCTCAAGGCTGCATACATGGCTCTCCTCTTCTTCATGTTATTCGGACAATAATTTTGTAATGTAGCCTACGCTGAAGCAGCGTGACTGTCCCAAGGTTACCCTTGGGAGTGCCAAGCCAGAATTTTAACCACTATGCCAAACTGATTCCTTTGCACCTTACGATTTAGATGTAAATTGTTTTTTCATCAAAATGTGATAAGCCATGTTGAAGGAAATGGACATCTGCTCCAATTTCCTGCCTGATGAAACCAATGGAAACCATGTCCATGGATTAACCAAAATAAGGATTCTACTGAGGAGGGAAACAAGGACTGGGCTTACCATGAAACAGATTCTGAAAGGAGTCTAATTTTCCAGATGCTACCACTAAACCATTTTAAAAAAATAGCATGAACTCTATGCTTACATGCAATGAGGCTGAACAGTCTTCTGCATTTTCTTTGCTGATCCTCGTGGCTGCAATGTGTGTGCCATGCGGCTGATGATAGATGCCTATTCTCTTCTGCAGAAGAAACACCTTCTCCTCAGAGTAATGTGGCATGTGTTCTAATTAATTCTAGACTTGCTGGAAGGAGGTGAAACATACTGATCTTTAACAACAAATAAGCCAAGTTTGCTTGCAAAACCTCAGACAGTGGAAAGAGTATCTTCCAGCTCTTACTGCGCCTGGCCTCTTAGCAATCCGTGGTCCATCACCAACTTGCCTAGGAACATAGCTATCATTGCTATGTATCTGGTGTACAACCTTGGCAGGAATGATCAACCAAAAGAGAGAACTGTCTGTCAGTCACAATTGTCATTCATTCACACACAAAGGCAGAGAATGTCTATGGCAAAACCTGTGAAACAGAGGCAGGGTTCTTAGTTTTGCACTAAACTCCTTATAGTAATGGGAGGCGAGGGGAACTTGATAAGGTAATTGGGCATGGGGGATTTAACCCTTTTCCCATAAGCTGCTACTCTCTGATAACTCTTCTCTCCAGTTCAGTTTTCTCTCCTGTAGCCTGCTGATAGATTGATGGTGCATTTGGCTGGGGAAGGTGACATGGTGGAAAGGTTACAGAAGGGAAATCAATGAATAGAGCAAGGTTTAAGTTCTCTCCCTCCTGCAAATGCCCCCCATGCTACCATTAGTAAGAAAACAACAGAGCAAGGTTTAAGTTCTCTCCCTCCAGCAAATGCCCCCCCCCATGCTACCATTAGTAAGAAAACAACATTTGCTGAAGAACTTAATTGTTACACCCTGTGGTGGATTAATGTAAAAAAAAAAGCATAACTGAGATGATTCACAAACCAAACATTCTGCTCAAGCAGTGGAAGGATATCTTGGATGGACATTACTGTGAATGTTCATACAACTTTTATACATTTTCTCAGGCTCACTGTGGGACTCACTTTTCCTCCCTTCTGCTTGATAGATCATTTGACACTAAATCCTGATCTCAGTTCTTATGGTTCTTTAGGCCTTTTCTTCAAAAGGAAAAAAACAAACAACTCCACAACTATATACCTACCTCCGCTTTGACACATTTGTGATTTTCTGAAATGTCTTTAAAGAAGGTGTGGGGGGGTGGGGGTGGGCGTGTGGGTTTCCCTGTGAGATTTTGATAGCAAATAAACAGTAGTGATGAAAGCATTTATATGGTCAGTTCTGTGCTATGAGATTCTCTATTGCAACTTTGTTGATCATGGGATTGCTGCGGAGAAAAATCTCTTTGCTGGATGTACCATGCAGATGTGTCACTTGAAGGTAGCTGAATTTATATATACATATATGTTTGTGTGCTTTTCTGTTTGTGCACACATACATATGTACACATACACATCTTTCCTTCCCCCCCCCCAAGTCTTTTTTCCTAATCCAGGCAGAAATGCCTCCAATTCTACCAGTTCTCACCCATCTTAGAACACACAAATACAAAAGCCATCCCAAAATGCATATAATGCAATGTGCGGGGGATGGTGTTTGCAATTTTTTGTTTCTTTATTTTTAAATGGGCAGTCCTTTATTTTACAAAAGATCTTTCCTGGTGCAGATAGGGATTGCTTACAATGCATTCTTGCTGGGACAAGTGTGAAGCTTACAGAAGCAAGTTGACCTCACTCCCAAGGACATGGCAAAATGCTCCTTTTTATTTATTTATTTATTTTTAACTCAGCCCTTTTACCATTAGAGTCTTCCAGTTGAATGAGAAAATACAGGCATAGATCAGCTTCCTGAGCTTCAGTCTTCCTTGGTTATAACGCTGTTCTATCTCAAAATGTTTAAATCTAAAGAAGTTTAGGCTTCTAAGGTAGAAGGTTGTTCTTTATGCTTTTAAGATGGGATGCTGTGTGCTCAGCAGAGCCCCTGCATCTATAAATTATTGTGGGGTCAGGGCAAGTGTGTGTAGCCTTTAAAGCAAACAACTCTCACTAGATTTGGAGAATATCTTAAAAGGATAAAGAACAACCAAGGCTCTTGTCTAAACTTCTTTAGATTTAAACATTTGGGTTCATTTTGGGATAGAACAGCCTTATAACCAAGGAAGACTGTGAGATGCAAGACTGGGCATTTCGACAGCCTGTAGCAGAGCTAAGAATGACCTCTGTCCCATCAAGATCAATGGCAAGATGGAGAGGAGAGAGGAAAAGGTTCAGTTCCTGGCTGATTTTTGGGTGCAGAAGGAGCGATTCCTCACAGCTGCTACTTTTATTTATCATTTATAAGAAGGATTTTTTTATGAATCCCCTTCAGCCAGAAAAAACCCTATAGAACTACTTATGAAGATTGATGATAAGATGGACCCCTTGCCTTCCGGCTTTCCTCTAAATGCCACCACATAAATGGAAAAGAGTTTGGAAGAGAGGAGAGAAAGAAAAATGAGCTCTGCAGCCCAAAGTTTCCATAGGTGTTCTTATTGGCAGGAAATCCAAAGCAACTCTAGAACTGTTCTGTCTCTGTCCAATGCTCAAGGCCAGATTAGTCTCCCGTTTTCTGGGGGGGGGCAAGGAGGGGCACAGGGCATTAGATTTCCCCCTCTCCCATTTTAAAAGGAAATATCCTGCACAAACCCCACTGTGCCAGAGCTTCATTCCATAGCCATCCCTTCAAGGCCAGTACTGCCTTTCAGTTTGCCCAGGCTCGATGGTCCCACGGCTATCCTGGCTCACCACCCCACCCAAAACACCTCTTTGCAGCCAATGAAATAATGGGCTTTTGCAATGGGGAGTCAGAGACCCAGGGCTCAGCCCCTCTCAATTCCTCTCCTTCCTCCTTGCAACACAGAATCTCTCCCTCTCTCTCTCTCCTGTCTCCTCTCTGGCTCTCCCTCTCTTTTAACTGCAGTACCTCAGGGCAGCGATCCAACAAGTGACCTTTGGGTTTCCCGGATGAGGGAAAATACTGATGCTCCGGCTGTTGGACTCTTGCGTTGGCCATAAGGTTGAAAGGAGACAGAGGGTCCCTTCCGAGCAGTGGGAGAAACAAAAAGCAACAAACCGGTGGCGGGGCGCTTCACCCTCTTAGTGGGCTCTTTGTGAGGGCTCCTTGCCTCCCCTCCCTCCCTCTCTCCGGAGCACCAAGGCGGCTAAGGCTACCGCCGCTT